TCCAATTATGCAAATGCAATCAACACCTGATTGCGACTAACAGATTATGTGGATTGGAGCAACATTCACCATATTTATTCCCAGATAATTTTTGCACCAGTCATTCTGAATTGAAAAAGCTGGTTGGAGGACCACTGAAACGTCTTCAAGAAAAATACCGCAAGTCCAGTTGCCTTGACTTATTTTTTACAGATATACCATGAGCTGGGTGAATGAGAACCTTCACAGACTTATGTTGGACTCAAATGGGCATCATTTAAGTATTTGGCTGGTGTCACCTGCCTGGGCGGCAATAGATACAGTCTTTCATGTCTAACACAAAATGTAGAGCCTGGTCACCGAGCTATGTCTGGCGGAGGGAGGAGACACTTACTCATCACTGATGAGACATCTTGATGGATGCTGCCAGTGTTTTTTATTTTATTTTATTTTATTTGACGGCTTAAACCAATGACCCTTTGCCATTGGGCCAAACCATCCACGGAGCTCAAGCCTTTGACTCCAAGTCAGGGGCATTTTGTAGTTTTGACCTTAGACTTGAAGCTGATACCTTTTTCTTCCATAATGGCAGATGAGGCTCTGCCTTACCTGCCTCCCCAGACCTCATATCCCTGCCCCATAAGAAGATTTCCCATAAGCTGTTGTTCTGAAGACCACTGTAAAATGTTACATTTACCATCACTTTCTGTTTAGAGAATTAAAGAGGGTGAATCTAACTAGTGGAGACACAAACAACAATAAAACCCTGATTGAGGATCTTATCCTTCCAAATTCTAACTAAAATATAACCAGTGTGGCTTTACATACACTTTAAATGTAACTCCAGGAACAAAAACTTTCATTTAAATGTATTAATTAATAACCACAAAGGATAAACATTCTCCAAATGCGTTTGCAAACTCAGATATTACCTTGTATCACTGTGCTGTACATAGCCTGTGCAGAGAACAGAGCTGTGGGAGGGGTCCAGTAGGCCCCATCCACTACAGACTGCCTGCAGGAAACTGCGGAGGGGTGGATACAAGGCCAGTCACCCTGCACAAGGAGATGGAGTAGCAGTGACAGGTCTTAATTACAGGAAGCTTCTAGACAGAGGCAAAGTACAGGAGATTCATGTTGGATTACTGCACAGATCTAGAGGAAATACACAGAGAACACCAAGATCCAAGTAAAAATATGCATGCCACTTGTATTTAGATGTTTGTTTATTTCAGTTAGAACATTTTGTGCGATTAAGGTCAAGTATTCTTTAATTCTTCGCAGATGCAGGTAACACTCCACAGGATTTCCCATTGTTCACACGTTACTACATATTTCTGCAGCCCTCTGAATAAACGTTTTCAGGGAGTCACGCTTGACATGTTTTTTGATTGTCGGCACTCTATACACAACTCTGTAGACAATTATAACTCATTCCAAAATTGCAAATTTGTCCAGATAGCTAATTGCAGAGAAAAATAGCAAAATGTATTGTTTAAAGTATATCAATGGGGATTTTATTTCACAGTGCAAACCCTAGCTATTAATTTCCATTCAGCCGCTGTTATCTTTGCAGCACACGCGTATCATTATTTATTTTGTCTCATTCCTTGGTGTCCAGCTTAGGAAGAAAATTGTCATAGTCATATATGATTTCCTCTGCCTGACCTCTGATAGATCTTCGGTGTCACCAGGTCTTTAAGACCATCCTTCTCTATTCTCCAACTTATTCCAAAATATGTTTTACAATCTGGGCTATTTCATTTGCCACGGGACCATCGGACTGTTGATTTATGCCTCCTATTGAAATAACAAATTAGTTGTATTATGAAAGGATATAACACAGAAGATGGGTTTGTAATAAATCTAATAATACACTTCAAGTTGAATTTTCTTGAGTGGGGAGAGCTGGGTTAGTGGCCAAGTGTGACTGATTGAAGTTGAAGGTTAGGTATGTTCATAAATCAGAGAGCCATGACTGAGTTTCCATCATTAATACACATTTTACTTGTAGGAAATATTTGGCTGAACGAATGTCGGCTTTAGGGTCAATTCACTAAGCAGTATGAGTCATTTTACCTGTGTTTGTTATTTTTTCTAACAATAATTTTATCATCAAAGGGTTTAATTTGCATACTTAATTATTGCATGGGTGTGCAGTCTTCTTTCTAAGCATCTTTGTATGAGATATGTATTTAACTGTTGTAGATTTTTAGTGCTCGGGATTTATGAATTATTATTTTATCTCCACCTTGAATAGCTCCATCTTCTCATAAACACCTCATATAGCTGCTCAGTTATCAGTAGTTAGAATCCAGCAATATTTTAAATGTCTAAAAAAACCCTGCAATAATTTCTATGAACTCCCTATTTACATACAAATATCACAATAAAATGAGAAAAATACAATACGGGTAAATTCAGTCTTTAGCTAATTGAAAACGTAGATGTTAAAGTGACATTAAAGTCACATCTCCCATGCTGCTTTAAGGACTTACCTTCAATGATGCTTCTTAATCCGATCATCTTCTTCTTTCCAGTGGTTTTCAGTAGTCCCTCCAGCGCCGGTGCCGGTCTCTGATCCAGCGCTGACTGCTGTGTCTTTCTGTCCAGTGGTGTCTGTGCGCATACACACTGCCGGGCTGCTGCATTGACTTACTTTGTGTCTCTTCTCTTCTGCCTGCCGTTGATCTCTACTGCACATGCTTCCACCCCATGATCCTTCACGGCCGCTCCAGAATCTTCAGATCTTCAGATGGAAGCGTGCAGAGGAGACAAAGGTAAGTAATAATCTGTTTTGTAACTTTGTAATTGTTTTTATTTTTTTTGCATATGTCTACTGCTTGCTAGCAGTAGATATATGCAAATAAAAAAAAAAGGTTTAATTCTACTTTATTAGTAAAAGTATGTATTGCATGTGTTTGGCTTTAGAGAACTGACCCTTGTAACCTTTCATATTGTAAGGTTAGCATTAGCAAGCATGCAATAAAGCAGGTGCCTATTGCAGGAAGTTATGGGTAGACATTCTTATTGCATCTGTGGAGGAGCAGTGTTGCCACCCTAGAACAGGAAGTGTTTAAGCACTATAGAAAACCTAATCTTCTCTGACTTTTTCAGTTTACATTTTGAAAGGGGCACATTTTTACATTTATTTTGTAATTAGGAAAGTTAAAGAATAAGTTCACCTTTTGCAAAAATTAAAGAAATGCATAATTAATAACATATTTAAAAAATACATTTCTTTAATATTTGCATTCAAGCCTGGAAAGCATTGCAATTGTGATCACCCGTTCACAGCTGCAAAGCTCAGGCTTCTCTCCAAGGCAGAGTTCGTACTGAGGTACGGGGTTTCAGTTAGGAGAGATGGGTGGAAGGATGGCTGGACTTTAAACTACCTCATATGGAGTCCAGCCATCCTCCTTCTATCAAGATGTGGGAATATAGGCAGCTCTACCTAAAGTAAGGACAGCTGGTTGCCGTATGAGGTGATTTAATGCAGTTTGAAGTCCAGCCATCCTTCCCCTCATCTCGCCTAACTAAAACTCCATACCTCCATAAAAGCTCTGCCTGGTAAAGAATGTGCAGAAGCCTGAGCTTTGCAGCTGTGATCGAGTGATCACAATTGCAATGCTTTCCAGGCTTGAATGCAAATATTAAAGAAATTCATTTTTAAAATATATTATTAATTATGCATGTCTTTAATTTTTGCAAAAAGTGACCTTATGCTTTAAAAGTGAAGCTGGCAGATATCCAAACCAGTAAAAGAGGTCCCAGCACTGGGAAGGTGAATACTTATGTAAAGCACTGCACATATTCTGTAAATGTTAGTGTTATTGCTTCATTTAAAGGGGTCTTTAGGCATAAAGTTGGTATCTGTTTTCCCAAATACGCAGCTCCCTGCAGCACCTTAAAGGAGAACTATGGGGTTAAGGCTTTTCCCCATAGTTCTCCTTAGGGTAACGGGAGGACACACACTAGTGTACTCCCGTCACCCAAAGCTCAGCTACTGCTCGCGGTATACTGAGACGCCGCAGCTGAAGCGGATCCCGACAAATATGTCTGGATCTGCACAGCTGCGTGACTGACAGCTGGCTCTGCCTATCTAGAGGCAGAGCCAGCTGTACTCGCCCCCTCCCCGTCCGTTCCGCCAGTCAGCGCTGGCGGATCGGAGGGGGGAGGGTGGAATCCAGCCCCTCCCCTGTCACGGCAGAGAGCCGTGACAGGATCGAGAGGTGAGTGAACGCCGGTATGTGTTCGCTCACCTCTCGATCTACTGAGCCGACCTGTGACAGTCTCATTGTCACAGGTCGGCTAGAACTATGAGGTGAGTGAAAAGCACTCACCTCATAGTTCTCCTTTAACACATGCTATTATTCTGGCCAAATTCTGATTTTCTTGATTAATGTCTTTTAACTGGGGGGATCAAAAATACTAAAAGTGATGTATACAAACCACAGGAAGGTAATATGTCTATGCTTCTCCGAGAAGCCAATGTGATTCTTTCCTTCATTTTCTAACATACTCTGCAAAAGACATCTGCCGTATGAGTCCTTGCTAGAGATAATACAGGTACATTTTCCCTCCAATAGTCAAAAATAAGGCATGCATTTTTGATAATAGTTTATTGTCCTGCTTGCTTTAACATGTAGAGAAAGAATCCCAGGATTTGGTCTCCTGTGTGTTTGTGTCTTGCTTCCTCTTGGCCCATGATGTCAGTGGAAGTTGTGAGCACAATATATCCAAACTGACGAGAAGGCAGGAGGTTGTTCTGTCACTTCTCCAGATCCTTCAGCTGCACATCAAATCTGGGGCTGATGATGCCTTGCCTTGTGAGACTGACAATTTTTCCGGCCCAGTGATCATCAACTATTTAAAACTCACCAATGTAGCCATGCTTCATCATTACTGTAAGGAATGGTACAATTGCTTTTGAGGATGGTCTGATGAGAACTTGGCATTTACAACATTTCTCTTCATTGCTGATTCTTTTAAGTGCATTGGCAAGAACATTCATGTGCACCATGGTGCTGGGTCTGCAGTATGACAAAAAGCTTCCAGTTATTTTTATACGGAGGTGTGAGATGCCATGTCTCTTTAGTGGGTAAAGATGTGCAATCAAAAAGAACAAGGAGGGATACATTGTGGTCCTTTCCTATGACTGATTTGCACAGCGAGGCTCTGTGGGGGAGTCTGTACAGACCTCTGGGGTGGGTCATGATGTCTCAGGAAAGTATAGATGGACACTTATGTGTCTCTATCCCAGCTAAAATAAGGCCACCAATTACAACACCTTTGTGGAGAGGTTGTAATACCGTTATACCACCAAGCCACGGTATCAAGTCAGTGATATTATATATTTTTTATTTATGTGTGTACAATTTCACATATATGAACATTCCTTTCTCTGTTTGTTTTTGTTGTTGTTGTTGTTGTTGTGTATCCAAATAATATAAACTGCACTCCAGGCAGATATAAAAAGCACAAATGAATGCAGTTCATTAATGCAGCTCTGTAATCTTTAATAAAATAAAAGTACTGTAAGCACCTGGCTTGTTGTCAACCTCTTACAGTGCCTGTACAGCAGCTCAGAGTGGGGGAGGGAGAAGCACCACAAAGAGCCAATCGGGTGTACTGCAGTGCAAGGAGCATTCTGATAGGAGAAGATAGCAGCGTTACAGAAAAATTAGCTCAACAGAGTGCTGATTATTCTTTCCCTGTCCACTGACACTGGGGGTGGAGAGGGGACCTGCAAGTTGAAGAAGAACCCCAGGGTTTAATGAAATTAACTCTTGCATTGGGGCTACCCTCATTGGGGTTAAGTGCTCCCTTTGGTCTAGGAGCAAAAATAAAGAAAATATATTCACCCGATCTTTGGCAGCAGTGACCACTCACCTGTCTCTCCCTCTGCTCTGGCTGTAGTATGTCCCTCGGCATGCTCATGTCTAATGGACTGGCATTAGACATGATGATGTTACGGGTCCTTAGACTGTTGGAGCCTGGGGGGGGGGGAAGAGGCAGCGGTCTTTATTTTCCTCCCTAAACCAAAACAAGCAGTAAACCCTTGCAGTATGGGGGTAGCACCACTGCAAGGGTTCATTTAAAGAGATCCTGGAGTTCTTCTTTAAAGTGAAACAGCAGTTGAGAAAAAATAGGCCCCCTCCCCTGCCAGGGGGCTCTGCTGTGTGGCAGAGTTGTGTAAATCTCAGGACCGGGTAGAAAATACAAATTTGGAAGGTCAAAAAGGTCCAAAAGCTCCTATATGTGTATTTCACTTATGTATTTAGTGCTGATTTAACTGAATCAAAGAAAAAAAATCTGAAAATTCTGCTAGTCAAAGACTTGAAAATAAAGCTGCCTCTGACCTAGGAATGGTTCCTATTCTGCCATGTTTCTTCTTCAAACACTTTGGCACAAAACTGGAACATTTCTGCAAGAAACGTCAAACAATACAGATTGTATAGTTTACAATGGGGTTGTCATTGTTAAAAAAACAGGTGTAAGCTGCGCAGTATCTGATGTGCTCTCACTGAATAGCACTGAATGTATTACCTTATCCCAGTGTCACAGCAGCAATACAGGGTATTAGGGCTGTTGCAGCTGAGTCTTACTGTCTCATCTTCCAAGTGTGAAGGGCTCATACATTCACGGGAAGAAAATTGCATTTCTTTCTTGTACTCTTGTGTCGACAAACTATTTACTGCTCTAAGGGCTGTAGAGTGATAGGATCAACTACTTATTTTTTCGTTCACATTTCAAGTATAATTCTGTCTTTGAGTAAAAGGTTACCATATGTAGGGTTCTTTTAATAAATGGACAGAAAAGGGCTTTTGAGCTGGGCCCATCAGGAAAGGAAAAATACCAACAGACTAAGAACCAGACCTGATTACTCAACCTATAAAGGAAGGCTGAATAAAAAAACAAAGTCTGTCAAGTTACAGCGATTACGATTCTAAATGATGGATCTTCTTTTGTAATTCATTCTTTCTTTTTCTTATTAATTTTATTTTCCTCCTTCTGTACTAATGATAGTTGAAGTAATTTTAAACCTAATCACTGTTAATGTGATTTTAAAAACTGTGTTCAATGCTTTTAAATCTGCAGTTTTCAGTGAAAGAATACCTTTTGATCCTGCTATAAAGGTCTTTGTTCAGGCACATCCTGTTATGGGGTGACCACTGTCTCCCAGTTGTGCTCTTACATTGCCACCATACCAGATGAACCCTTGGTGGAGGCTACAAGACACATTGCGCGGGTATGGTCCACTTATGTCGCTATCGGGAAGCTGGTCCAGAGTAAATATGGTTGATGCCAAAGCGAGTGTATATATTTGTGTGTGTGTGCCTGTGAGTGTTAGGTGTAGACATGCACACTCATTTTCTCTACACTAGAGACTGAATTCACTTTTCTCCTAAAGAGCCTTGGTCTCCTGTATAATGTATGCCCACTCTTCTCTGTCACTTGAATTCCTTTTCCAACCTCAGGTTTAAAGTATAACACCATTAAAAAATGCTTTGGGGATATGGACAGAATGGGGAAGATTTACAACCTTCGTTAGGAATGTAATTAAATTTGTATAGAAACTAAAGAAAAAAAAATGATGGGTCACCTATTTTAGTGACAACTGTAAAATGTGGGATTGTTTCTTTGAGTTCGTGTTCTATTTCTGGCAGTAGGCAAAGACAATAGTGGGCACAGATAGCAATAAAAACCTTTCAAAAGTTTTAGCCCATCAATGCACTATCCAATACTAACAAAATAGTTAGGAGTTCCACTTTAAGTTTTCCTAAGAGTCAACTATATATTTTTTTCTTACCTCATCAGTGATATACCTTATGGCTGCACTTTATTTATTCTAAAACAGTCCTCTGTTCATTATTTGTACATAATACTGCTACTACTTAAAGGAGAACTGTGAGGTGAGTGAAAATCACTCATCCTCATAGTTCGAACCGACGTGTGACAATTAAACTGTCACACGTCGGCTCAACAGATCGGGAAGTGAGCGAACGCATAACGTTGCTGGCACACTTCTCGATCATTTCCCTGCAGATAGCGGTGACCTCACTCTGCAGTCACCGCTCCCTGCAGGGATTCCCCCCTCCCCTCTCCGATCCTCCAGCGCTGAGTGGAGGAACGGATGGCGGGAGGGGCGGGTACAGCTGGTTCTGCCTCTAGATAGTCAGAGCCAGCTGTCATTCACGCAGCTGGATGGATCTCGACAGCATTGTCAGGATCCGTCCTGGCTGCGGCGTTCTCAGTATATCGTGAGCTGTAGCTCGCAATATACTGAGCTTTGGGTCACAGGAGGACGCTAGTATATGTCCTCCCGTGACCCTCAGGAGAACTATGGTTCTCTTTTAATGTAGTAATAAACCCTCCATTTAGAAACAACTTCTCTATTTAATAGTATTTAATATTGTCAAAAATCTTTTTGTTTCAAAAAAATGCTTTTGTAAAGGTTTTATTTGATTTAGGTTATTATATTTAAAGATCTCTGTCCTCCATGTGCTTTTTAACTTAATTCCTAACTTCCACATTGGTGTAGTCCCGGGGGAGCACACATGCTGCAGTGGCTCCATAGAGAAACGTCTAGAAGATAGAAGCCACTGCAGAAGTGCTCCTATCTGCATGGAAGTAATGGTTCACAACAAATAAAAAGAATGTTAGTGTGACGATGTGATTACAACGTTAAAAAATAAATATTCCAGTGGGACCCCTGCAATGTGAGGGTTAAGTTCTCATGTTTGTCTAGTTGCAAAAATAAAAAAAATTATACTCACCTGAACCTCGGAGCCAGAAAGACCTCCCAGCCTCTCTCCCCCTCTGAGGAAGCGGTCTAAGGAACCTGGAGTCATCAGGTCCAATACATTGTGTATTGGAAGTGCGGACGCCGAAGGACATCACTGCAGCAGAGGATGGGGTGAGTATAATTTTTTTTATTTTACAACCTAGTTGAAAACAAGCACCATTATATAGATACTTGCTCCCTATTCAGACTTTCAAACACAGCTTCTGGCAGAGGGAATTCAGGGAACTTGCTGAAAGTAGGGATGTTCAGATACCAGTGCCGATACTTGGCAGTTTCACGAGAACTACCAGGGTTGCAGAGGTTGCAGCTGTGACTAGGCCCTGGTGTTCCACCACTGTCCTGAAATCATTAGTCTGTATTACTTTAGAAAAACTGTCACATGACACTAAACTAAAATGTATCAGTACTTGCATCTGTGAAGACAAGTATTGGTACTTGGTCTGGGAAAAAATGGTATCCGTGCATCCCTATCATATATTAAAAATGACAGTTGCCTCCTAATTTTTTAGTTTTTCTCTAGTCTAGTCTTGAAGCTGGAAAAATATCATTACTTTGAGATGTCTTGTGAGGGAATGCTGAAAGCTTTAACGGAAGATGTTGCTAAAAGATAAAGGTGTGCCACAAAAAACATTTCCTTTCACCATGCCTGTAGAAAGAGGAATCACCAGCACTCAGTAGAATAATCCAACATGTCCATTTATTGGACATAGGCATCACACAATCACAAGAGCCAACGTTTCAAGACCACGCAGGGTCTCTTCATCAGGGCATAAAGAGTGACAATACACTGACATTTGATAACCAAATATATACCTCATGAAGCTAACCAATAATCAAAAGCAACACCCCCCTGTGACATCATAATAGCGGGAAAATCTTCCATTTTCAAATACATACAAAAAAAAATAAACAGTGAAATACCAGCTTAAGAAACATATATCATACCCATTGCAATCAGCGTCCAGTTCCAGAGTGTGGTTAAGGTCCGGTTCATCGATGCAGATAAATCAAATGCAGGCGCTGGAGTGGCCAAAGAGAGACGGGATATCACAAACCGGAGTCTTCGCCCCTAGTTCTAGTGCGCCGGCGCAGGGAATCCGCGTCATCCATTGTCATGGTGACCGGAGACAGCATCAACGCTGATTGGTGTAGTCGCAGAGCGTGGCATTGTAACTCATTCTGATGTCAACTTTCACCATGCCTGCCAACCAATGATGCAGCATGGCACACTTTGTACAGAATTCTGTACCTGCCACAAAAGGGCT